GAACAGACCCTTCCCGAATTCGGTAGAAAGCATTTCGGTGGCAACCGAATAGCTCCGAATTCGGTGTAACCTAGCACGGTGCTTATAACTATAATAAAATATAGGAAAGCACCTAGCCTAGGAATCAAGCAATTCATGCATGCATAAAATAAACCTAAGCTAGAAATAGCGTAAGGAAAGGAATACAAGCAAGCATGAATAACAAACATAAGCCGTCGTACTCTCACACGTCCCCCCCTCAAAGCTGGGTGGCGTGAGATACACCCTGCTTGACAAGATAGTCTTTGAGAGCACGGCGTGCGTTGCCCATATCAGCTTCTGCAACCCAACTGTCCTCAGTGGGGTCATATCCCTTCCAGCGTATCAGGAACTCGAGGTTTTTGCCGCCGCGACGCCGATGAGAAAGAACGCGCTCGATCTCGTACTCTGGTTCATCCTGCACAAGAACAGGTGGTGGTGGCGGTAGCTGCCGTCCCTGGAACCGTCGGTTGGGGTCCTTGTAGGGCTTCAGTAGCTGAACATGGAAAGCGTTGTGAAGCTTCCACGTATCTGGTAAGCTCACGCGGAATGTAACTGGTGTCACCTGTGCCTCCACGAGAAATGGACCACAGAAGCGAGGCCGGAGTTTGGACGGGAGGTGAGACAGGTTCAAGTTGCGCGTATCAAGAAGCACCTGATCTCCGACTGCTACTGAGTGATCCCGTCGCTGACGATCGGCATACTGCTTCTGGGAGTTCTGCATCGTGGTGAGACGCCGCTGAGTCTTCTCCCATAGCTGCTGCATGGTGGTGACGAAGTCGTGTGCGGCTTGGACGTGTGCCGGTGTGGTTGGCTGTTGTGGGGCTGGTTCCCGTCCATAGCACAGGAAGAAAGGAGTTTTTCCTGTGGCCGCATGCGAGGCGTTGTTGTAGGCGAACTCTAAGGTCGGTAACTGTGTGTCCCAGTGGCTGATATCGTCTTTGCAAGCTGCGCGGAGTAACTGTTCAACCACCTGATTGAGTCACTCTGTCTGTCCGTCAGTCTGGGGATGGTATGCTGAAGACATTGCAAGCTTAGTCCCCAACAATCCCATAAGCTCCTTCCAAAACTTACTCGTGAATTTTGGGTCTCTGTCTGAGATGAGTGTAGCGGGGATGCCGTGGATGGTGATGATGCGGTCGAAGAAGAGTCGAGCAGTTGCTTCAGCAGTAGCTGTGGCGTTGGTCGGTATGAAGTGACCCATTTTGGAGAACTTGTCGATGACCACGATGATGGAATCGTGTCCCCGTGAGGTCGAGGGAAGTCCTGTGATGAAGTCGAGACTAACGACCTGCCATGGCTGCTCCAGTACGGGTAGAGGCTGAAGTAACCCTGCTTTTTCTGTTTGCTACTCTTCATCCGCTGGCACGTGTCGCAGGAGGTGACGAACTGCTGCACGTCTGCTGCCATCCGAGGCCAGTAGCAGTACTTCGCTATTCCCGCTAACGTTTTGTTGCTCCCGAAATGTCCCGCGTATGGTACGTCATGAAACTCCTCCAATAGGATCTGCCGTAGCGGGGCGTAGTTCGGTACCCAAATCTTTCCTGAACCCTTCCTTACCGCTAAGTCTTTCTCCCACTGTAACAACTTCTGTTTCTCTGCCGTTGCTATCTCGCCGTCCACGGAGTACCCATGTTGGAATAGATCCTTGAACAGAGGGTTCATCCCGTCGAGCTGGATGCCTGCTACATGACCGGGGCGGCTCAACACGTCAGCTTTGTTGTGGGCCCGGGTTTGTAGACGATGTCGTAGTGGAAGTGAGTCTCCAAGAAATCCACCCACCGCACCTGTCGTCTCAAAAGCGTTGGCTGCGACTTCAGGTATTTAAGACTGCAGTGGTCTGTATAGACTGTGGTCTTGGCTCCCTCAAGGTAACACCTCCACGCCTTGAAGGCTACGACGATGACTAAGGCTTCCTTGTCGTGAATGGGGTAGTTCAGTTCTGCTCCGTGCAGTTTCTTACTGAGGTAGGCGATAGGCTGTAAACCGTTCCCGTGATCCTGCATCGGTACTGCTCCGACTGCCTGGTCACTAGCGTCTGCTTCAACTACGTAGTCCTTGTCGGGGTCCGGTAGGATGAGTACTGGCGCTGTGGTCAGTGCTGTCTGTAGCTGTTCCATGGCTTGCTGATGAGGGGCACTCCATTTGAAAGGCATGTCCTTTTTCAGTAGGTCGGTCAGTGGCGCTGCTATCTTAGCGTACTGTGGCACGAACCTGTTGTAGTAGTTGGCGAAGCCGAGGAACTGCTGCAACTCCTTCACGTTCTCCGGAACTTTCCACTTCTTGACGGCTTCGATTTTCCGCGGGTCCACGTGTACGCCCTTGGCACTCACCATGTGCCCGAGAAACTGCACCTTCTCCAGTGCGAAGTCGCTCTTTGACAGCTTCACGTAGAACTTATTCTTCCGCAGGATCTCGAACACCTTCCGTAGATGCTCCACGTGCTCCTTCATATTCTTGGAGTAGATGAGAATGTCGTCCAGGTACACTACTACGCACTCGTCTAACAGGGGCCGTAGAATATGGTTCATCTCTGCCTGGAACGTTGCTGGTGCGTTGCAGAGTCTGAACGGCATCACCAAGTATTCGTAGGAGCCGTATCTTGTACGGAACGCCGTCTTGTGGATCGAGTTGTCCGCCATCTTGATCTGCCAGTAACCCGACCGTAAGTCCAGCTTCGAGAAGACCGTTGCACCACGCAGTTGGTCCAGTAAGTCGTCGATGCGCGGTATGGGGTATTTGTTCTTGACTGTCTGTTTGTTCAGTGCGCGGTAGTCGATGCACATCCGTAAACTACCGTCTGGTTTCGGTGTGAAGAGAACTGGTGCGCCGTAGGGAGAGGTGGATGGTCGGATCAGTTGTCTGTCCAGTAGATACTCGATCTGTTTCTTCATGTCTGTCAGTTCGGTCGGACTCAGTCTGTAAGGTGCACGTGAGACGGGTTTCGCACCTGGTTCCTCCACGATCTCGTGCTCGTGGGTGCGTGCAGGAGGTACGCCTGCAGGTAGGTCGTCGGGCATGATGTCTTTGTACTGCTCCAAGACCTTTTTCACTGCTGCGGGTAGCTCGGAACCCTTTTTCACCTCTTCTGCTGCTGCCATGACCAGTGCTAAGTAACCCGTGTTACTCTCGTTCACCGTCTGTTCGAACCGTGCCAGTGTCGTTTCAGGAACATCCCCTGTATCCGTCCAGCTTCGCAGTGCTATCCGCTTCCCGTTGTTGTAGATGCACACTTTGCTGTTGACCCAATCGATCTCGGGGTTGAACCGCTTCAGGAAATCTCGCCCCAAGATAAAATCTAACCCTTTGATGTTGGTAACAGGTAGCTTCGGCTTCCATCTCAACGCACCTATGTGCAGCTGCAAGGATGCTTCGCCGTGGATGGGAAGCTTCGTACCATCCACCATCGTTGCTGAGAATTGGGTCTCCTCCGCCTTCTCTCCAATTTTCTCCAATGTCTCGCGGTCGCACACCGAGTGAGATGCACCGCTGTCCACCAGTGCCTGGAGGCGTCGCCCATTGCATAACACCTCGAGGAGTAGTGGTTTCTGCTGCGCTGAGTAGCCAAAGAGGGTCTCATTAATAGGATCATAGGGTACATCAAAATGAATACCTTCCCTACTTCCTATACCTGACTCAGCACTTTCCAACTTCACCTGGGGGGTAGGAGGATTTTTCCGAGGCTTGTATAATTTCTCCTGAGCCTGGATGTCTCCTCTAAGCCTTTGCAGCTGTGTAGGCTGTCAAATTATATGTTTCATATTATTTAGTTCTAGGTTGTGTAGGGGTGATTCTTAGAGGGTACAACAATTCTCTCGATACTCTTGTACCCCCTCCCCTAACCTAATCGACATACTTTCCTCTCTAGTCTTGACATGGTATAGAGCAGGAAGTTTCCTAGGGCCCACCACGGAAAACGAATTTTTTTTTTTCCTGCCCGGAGCGCGCTTCGCGCCTACCCTAGTCGCGCCCCGTGCGCCTGTCCCTAACGGCCCGTCGCGGCCCCTCTCTTAAAGTCCTCTCGCGGCCCCTCGTTGGCCCCTTCGCGACCCCCGCTTACGGCCCCTTAGCACCCCCCCCCCTTTTTTCGCGGCCTCGTTGCCCTCCCCCCCCGCGCGGCTCTGTCGCCGCCCTTTCGCGACCTCGTCGCCGCCCCTACGCGGCTTCGTCGTCGCCCCTACGCGGCCTCGTCGCCGCCCATACGCGACTCCGTCGCCGCCCTCCCCTTCGCGGCTCTGTTGCCGCCTCTTCGCGGCTTCGTCGCCGCCCCTCGCCGCCCTTCGCGGCCCCTCCAGGTTCCGTCGCGGTCCCCTTTCCTCTCGTCTGCAGCAGCTGTCGCCGCTGAGCCTGCAGCAGCTACCGCCGCTGACCTTCAGCCGCTGCCGCCGCAGAGCATACAGCAGCAGCCGCGGCCGGACCTGCAGTAGCAGCCGCCGCCGAGCCAGCAGCAGCAGCCGCGGTCGGACCTGCAGTAGCAGCCGCCGCCAGACCTGCAGCAGCTGCCGCGGCCCAGCCTACAGCAGCAGCCGCCGCCGGGCCTGCAGCAGCTGCCGCCGCCGAGCCTGCAGCAACAGCCGCGGCAGAGCCTGCAGTCGCAGCCGCCGCCAGACCTACAGCAGCGGCCGCCGCCGACCCTGCAGCAGCTGCCGCCGCCGAACCAACAGCAGCAGCCGCCGCCGGACCTACAGCAGCGGCCGCCGCCGACCCTGCAGCAGCTGCCGTCGCCGAGCCAGCAGCAGCAGCCGCCGCCAGACCTGCAGCAGCTGCCGCCGCCGAGCCTGCAGCAGCAGCCGCCATTCGAGAATACCACAGCAGCCGCCGTCCCTGCAGCAGCGGCCGTTCCCGAGCCTTCAGCAGCTGCCGCCGCCGCCGCCGTCACTGCCACGGCCCTGCCCTGCTAGAGCCGCACTGCCCTGCCCTACCGCGCTACTGCTGCTGCTGTCACTGCTACTGACACTACTACTGTTCCTCCTACTGCTACTATGGCTAGCCCTCCTGTGCTAGCCTTCGATGCTGAGGGCCGCCCAGTGAAGTTTGACACCTGGCTCGATGACCTGCACCTCTTCCTACAGCTCACTGCCAAGGAGGACATTTCACTGTACGATCACGCCCTAGGCCATGCTACTGCCCCTGACACTACTGCTGACAGCACTCTGCGCTCCCAGTGGCAGACCCGTGACGCGCACGCTCGCTTCGCTATTCGCAACTCCTCTCTGCTAGATGAGCGCGAGCACTTCGGCCAGTGCAAGACTGCTAAGGAACTGTACACAGCCGTAGTTGCTCGTTACTCCTCACCTGCGTCTGCCGCACTAGGCCGCCTCTCACTCCCCTATCTGTTCCCCGACCTGGCCTCCTTTCACACTGTTGCTGACCTCATCACCCACCTCAAGACTAGTGAGGCCCGCTTTCGCGCTGCTATGCCTGCCGAGTTCCTTGCTAGCAACCCCCCCCCGCTCTGGCTCACTCTCTACCACATTGTCACCCGCCTCCCTGACTCTCTGCGCACAGTCAGGGATTCCTTTCTAGCTCGCTCCCCTACTGAGCTCACCATTGCCCTCCTCGAGAAGGACCTACTTGCAGCTGAGGCGAGCATCGTCGCCGTAGGTGCCTCTCGTGGCGAGCCCCGCACCCCCTTCTTTGAGGGGTGTTCCCCTTCCCCCCTTCTCCCCTCTGTCGCCTCTGCTTCTGCTGTCGACCTCCTTGGTGCTGAGAAGGTCGGGACCGCGTCTGCTCCGAGCGGGCGCCGCAGGACCAAAGGAGGCAAGGGTGGAGGAGGCGGCCGGGGAGGCGGGGGTGGAGGCGGTGGGAGTGGAGGAGGGGCTGGAGAGGCTAGTGGCGGCAGTGGGGGTAGTGACGGCAGCGGCGGAGGCGGTGGCAGGGGCGGGGGCGGCAGCGGGGGCGGCGGTGGTCGTGGCAGCGGCAGGGGAGGGGGTGGTCGAGGAGGTGGCAGCGGCGGTGGTGGTCGTGGAGGCGCTGGCGGTGGTCCGAGCCAGCAGCACACTCCGTCGCTCCAGGAGGCCCGTGAGTGGTATGCGCAGCGTGGAGGGGCGGGTGGCCTTAGCTGCACGTACGTCATCCGCACTGGTGACCGCGCTGGTCAGACGTGTGGGAAGCCGCACCCCACGCCACGCTGCTCGCGCGCCTTGACGACGCTTGGCGCACTCAGTTCCCTGACGGCAATGAGCTGCCCCGCTGGTTTGATCTGGAGAAGAAGGGTGTTGATATCTGGGCTTTAGACTTTGATGCTATTCTCACTGCCATGTATGCTATGTTTACTAGTGGAGAGGGTGCTCAGTACTTGCGTGTTCCGCCCGACCCGGGCATTCTCACCAGTGAGGCTGCTGCTCTAGGTGCTAGTGCGTCTGCAGCTCCAGGTGCTCGCGTGTCTGCCACCTCAGGTGACGGTGAGGCTGTCGCTCTAGGTGCTGCTGAGTCTGTCTCCCCTGGTACTGAGTCGACTGCGGCACTGCACACCTTCACACTGGACTCAGGTGCTTCTCGCTGTTTCTTTCGAGATCGCACTGCCCTTGAGCCACTCGCTCGGCCAGTTGCTGTCTCCCTCGCTGACCCCTCTGGGGGTCCGGTCATTGCGACCTCCTCCACTGTTCTTCCCTGTCCTGCGGTCCCGTCTGGCACACTGTCTGGTCTCTACCTCCCCTCGTTCTCTACGAACTTGGTGGCGGGTAGTGCGCTCCAGGACGGGGGTGTAAGGAGAGGGAGCAGGGAGAGGCGAGGCAGGCGGTAACTGTGACTGCGGCTGGACAGGCGGAGGACACTCCACGGAGGGAGGAGGACAAGGAGGAGGAGCCTGACCAAGAACCTGCTGAAGAAGTGGTACGAAGTACGGTCGCGGCCGCGCAGCGTCTCCAGAACCAGCAGAGACACCAGCGGCGAGGTCCTCAGCACCAGCAGCAGCTCCACCGCTCGGGTCCTCAGCACCAGCAGCAGCTCCACCGCCCGGGTCCTCAGCTCCAGCAGCAGCTCCAACGCCCGGGTCCTCAGCACCAGCAGCAGCTCCACCCCCAGGGTCCGCAGCACCAGGAGCACCACTCCGAAGACTGCAGCGCCGCGTGTACCACTCTCGGATCTGCTGAATGGGGGGGAGCTCCTGGGCAGGAGGGGAAGCACTGGCCGCGACCAGATCCAGCAGTACCTCTCCGGAGGCGGCAGTACTGTAGGTACCTCTCCTGCAGCCGCTGTGAGGAGAGGGCTCCTCCAGGTGTAGTACCCCCAGACTCAGCACCCCCAGGCTCCGCACCCGCAGACTCAGCACCCTCAGGCTCACTACCCCCAGGCTCAGCACCCCCAGGCTCCGCACCTCCAAGCTCAGCACCCCCAGGCTCAGCACCCCCAGACGCAGCACCCCCAGGCTCAGCACCCCCAGGCTCAGCACCCCCAGGCTCCTCACGGTCAGGCTCAGCACCCCCAGCAGGACGAGAGTCAACAGCTACCTCGACAGGCTCACCCGGGTCTACCTGGGACACACCTGAGGGAGCGGCACCCTGAGGGGGGAGGGGGTCTGGTACCTCAGCACCTGGAGCCAGGAAGAGAGGCGGGGGGGGGAGTGGGGCAGTGCGGTAGGGGAAGAGGCGGTAGTAGGGGACGGACTCGTCAAAAGTGACATCCTGAGAGGCCAGGACACGACGCGAGGTGGCGTGGTAAAACTGCCAACCAGGCGCGTCCGGGACAAAGCCAAGGAAGACACAGGGGACAGCGCGACGGGAGAGCTTGTCCGCGGACGTGTCGCGAACAAAAGCTCGGGATCCCCAGACCCGAAAACGCGACGCATCGCCAGCCTCTCCCGTCCAACGCAGTGTCGGAGAAGTCTCCGGTAAGGAGACACGGGGCCAGAGGTTGAGCTGATGCGCAGCGTATCGGACTGCAAACGGCCACAGAAAGTGGGGGGCAGCCGCATGAACCAAGGAGGTACGAGCGACCTCCATGACCAAGCCAATGCGGCGCTCAGCAACCCCGTTCTGCTGTGGAGAGGCCGGAAGCGTGAACGACTGCTCAATGCCCTCCTGCTGACAGAAGGCCTCCAAGAGGCCAGAGGAAAACTCCCCACCTCTGTCAGAGTGCAGACGTAGGACAGGGAAGTCGGAGCGGAAACGCTCACTGAGCTGGAGACGAGATCTGCGGATCCAAGGGATCAAGACATCAGGGACGTCACCCTTGGTGCGCAAGGGGAAGACCGTGGTGTAGCGCGAGAAGTCGTCAACAACAATCAGGAAGTACCTCTCCTGACCCTGACCACGGACGCGGGCTGGGCCCCACACGTCCATGTGGAGCGTCTGCAAGGGAGCAGTCGTCGGGGGAAACGAGGAGGAGTGAGGAGCGGCGCGCTGCCGCCCCTCGACACAGGGAAGACAGGAAGGAGCAGGCGAGGGTGGGAGGGGAGGGAGAACCCTGGGAAGACCAGCAACAAGGTCCCGTTTGTGCATGGCCCGAAGGCGCTGCACAGACGGGTGACCAAGGCGGTGGTGCTAGAGGACAGTCTCATGCCCCAGAGAGCGACACGAGCAGGGGGCGGACAGCTGACCTGACGCAGACGCAGACGCAGCTACCTGAGGGGACTCAGTGGTCAGTGTGTACAGGTCCGACCCCGGCTCTCGAGTGAAGGTAGCCAGGTGACGGCCCGTCCGAGCACACGTGCAGTGTGTCACGCGCTCGTAGGCAGGGGTCCCACAAGAGGTCTTACAGAGCGTCGTGAGCCTGAGTCTCGTCCTGCGTCGCCTGTTCGTACTGCTCGCACTGGTCGTCGTGTCCCACGTGAGCGTCCACCTCCTGTCCCTGGCACTCACTACATGACTCTGCGTCCCTCTACTGCTCCTCAGCGTGTCCCTCTGCCGTCTCCTCCTGCGTCCTCTCTACCTACTCTTCCTGACCCGGAGTCTGACTCCCGTCGTGCTGCTAGTCCCACTGTCACGCGTCTCCTAGCTACTGTTGTCACTGACCCTACCTTTGAGTCCTCTGCTGCGTCTGCTCTGGTCGCTGAGTTGGTTGACTTTGCTGCCCGGTGTCGTCTAGACTACGCCGCTAGCCTTGTTGCTGAGTCTGAGTCTGTCTGTCCTCCGTCCGTCGGGGGTGAGTGTGCTCTTGGCACGGACGTCCTTGAGGACAGGCAGGAGGAGTTCCAGTGCTTTGCTGCTGCTTTGCCCCGTCTCGTGTCCATGCTAGTTGCCCCTGAGGGAGACCCGGATGCACCAGACATCCCGACCCCGCGCTCTTACGCTGAGGCGATGGCGGGTCCCTACTCCTCTCAGTGGCAGACAGCCATGGACGCAGAGATGGCTTCCTGGAAGTCCACAGGCACCTACGTCGACGAGGTTCCCCCACCTGGGGCGAACATCGTCAGTGGCATGTGGATTTTCAGGGTGAAGCGGCCGCCGGGTTCTCCTCCTGTCTTCAAGGCGCACTACGTTGCTCGAGGCTTCAGTCAGCGAGAGGGAGTAGACTTCTTCCAGACCTTCTCCCCCACCCCGAAGATGACCACTCTTCGGGTGCTGCTACACATAGCCGCTCAGCGCGACTACGAGCTTCACTCACTTGACTTCAGCACTGCTTTCTTACAGGGCAGCCTGCACGAGGAGATCTGGCTACGTCGCCCACCTGGCTTCACTGGGTCGGTTCCTCCTGGTACCCAGTGGAGGCTCCAGCGGCCGGTCTACGGTCTCCGCCAGGCACCACGTGAGTGGCACGACACACTGAGGACGACACTTGCGGCTCTTGGGTTCGCTCCCTCTACTGCTGACCCGTCACTGTTTCTACGCACTGACACCTCGCTGCCGCCGTTCTACATCCTCGTGTACGTCGACGACTTGGTCTTTGCCACGGCTGACACCGCGGCGTACTCCTCGCCTCAGTCCACTCCTCTGCCTACCGGTCACTCGCTCTCAGCTCCACCTTCGGATGAGTCCGTAGAGCCGAGTGGCCCATATCCAGAGCTTGTGGGCTGCCTCATGTACCTGATGACCTGCACTCGACCTGACCTGGCATACCCTCTTAGCATCCTTGCACGCTATGTCGCTCCTGGCCGTCACAGGAAGGAGCACATGGATGCCGCTAAGAGGGTGTTGCGCTACTTGTGCAGTACGTCGGGCATGGGGCTAGTGCTTGGAGGGCGGGACCGAGTTGTACTCACAGGACACTCAGACGCTTCTTGGGCGGACGATCAGGCTACTCAGGGTTACACCTTCAGCCTTGGCTCTGGCTCAGTTTCTTGGCGTTCCACACGCTCTTCTTTTGTTCTCAGCTCCAGTTGTGAGGCTGAGATCTACGCCACAGCCATGGCTGCCCAGGAGCTACGCTGGCTGACCTACCTGCTGACCGACCTGGGAGAGCGGCCTCGTTCTCCTCCAGTGCTGTACGTCGACAACAAGGCTGCCATTGCCTTGTGTGAGGAGCACAGAACGAAGCACATCGCCCTGCGGTACTTCCTTGCTCGAGAGCTGCAGCAGCGCGGTCAGCTTTGTCTGCGTTACGTGGCCACTGAGGCCAACCTTGCTGATGTGTTCACCAAGGCGCTTCAGCCTTGTGACCATCAGCGCTTCTGCACTCTGCTAGGCCTTGTGCCTACTGGACCTCACTTGCTTACTTCTTGACCCTGCTTGTACTGTGATCACTATATATATATATATCTCTGCATGCTTACTCTTGCTAGGTTGTGATCACTGTATCTCTTGTTTTGTTATAAACCTGCATGTGAACTGGCCTTGTGGCCACCTGCTTGTGCTCAGACTGTGTGGTGTCCTTGAGATCCACCCTGAGCTTTGTCTTGCTTGCTTTTCTGCTTGACTGGTCTTGTGACCACTGTTAGGTTTGGCTATCCCCCCTACTTCACCTATGGGGGTGTGTCAAATTATATGTTTCATATTATTTAGTTCTAGGTTGTGTAGGGGTGATTCTTAGAGGGTACAACAATTCTCTCGATACTCTTGTACCCCCTCCCCTAACCTAATCGACATACTTTCCTCTCTAGTCTTGACATAGGCTTCACCTGTGGGCAACGGGGAGCCTTAACACTATGCTGCGGGGAGAGAATATTAACACCACGGAACGCACGACCCTTTTCTACGCTCCGTAATACTTTGCCCAACTTTGCAGGTACCTGAATAATTTCTAAAGGCTTTTTCTTGGCCTCTAAATCTCCCCTGAATTTTTCAAAGGCTTGAAAACCACGAGAAGCAATATTTTTCGTTAGAGTATCTTTATAGGATACTTTTAACGAATTCTTACT